TATGAAAAGTACCATATTTTTATATTCACAGACCCTAAAACCAAGTCTGCCTAATGGAATATTTTTTCACAGCTTTGCAATATAGTCGCAGCTGACCGAGTCAACTGTTGTTCCGTAGATGCGGAGAGGGAAGAAGGTTAGGGGTAATGCAGAAAACCTTTTTTTTTTTTTTTCTTTTGGAAGTAGTTCTGAATCGCTAACCTGGGCACATCCTTCATCCTTCTCCAAGCTACAACTCAGAGAAAAGGGAATTTAGCTTCCCACGCGCAGTGAACCTCATCCCCACACCTCAGTCCAGACAATATATAAAAGTGAAACAGTCTCAAACTGAAAAAAGAAAAAAAAAAAGTCACACTGCACTTAGTCTTTGGTTTCCAAGTTCAAAGGAGGAATCTGCTTCAAAGCTTGAAGCAGAGCTGAGGAGTCGATAGGGGAATGGGCCGGTACAGGAGAAGGGAGTCTCTGGGGCATCAGCAGAGGCGGGGAGATTTTATCGGGGTTCATGAACCCCGTCAGTGCTGCGGCAGAGGCTGGGAGGCTGGGGTACAGGACAGGTACGGAGGCCGGGTACCAGCACTTCTCCAGCATGGGCAGGTAGGCTGTTGCGGAGGGTGGGATCAAATAGAAAGGCAGGCACAAGGGAGGCTGGTGAGCGTGGGGGCCCAGGAAGCCGCTGGAAGCGCCCATCATGTCGCTGCCAAAAGGGCCCTCGTCCTCCGGCGACTCCAGCCTGCTCCTTTTGGCCGGCGGGTCCTCAGTCTCTTGCTTAATAGAGCTTATTCTCTCCTGGACAGCGTACTTGAGTTCGGTATCCTTTTTGAAATACTGCTGTTCGGATTTGGAGTCACTTTTCTCCAGCTCTCCCCCGTACCCGCTGTCCGTGTCTGTGTCGCTGCCGCTCTGCTCCCCGCTGGAGTGAGCGAATGTCCTCTGGATCACAGGCACGCAGTTTTTCCCGTGCCCCTCCGCCGCTTTGGTCAAGGAGACGGGTTTCTCTTTCAAGTCCACCATTTTAGGAGGGATGTCTCCGGCCATGCGGCCGGCTCCGCCCTGGAGCACCTCGGAGGCCATTCGGTGCAGATGGCTGACCAGCTGCGACGACTTCAGGTCCTTGCCGTTCTCGTGCTTTGCCAGGTATTGCAGCATTTCCTTGGCACACATCTGGAAACCGGATCGAAACATTTCCTGGCTGGAATCAAGGTTTCTTGATGACAGGTCACCTGAGGAAACATTAACAGAAAGAAATTAAAAATTAACAACGTGCCAAACAGTTGCATTACCATCTTCTAGGCAGACTGGAGGTGATATTAAACTTGAGTTACAGCACAGCTGGAGAGGTGAACTTGACGGTCAACCTGAATTTTGCGTACGTTTCCCCGATTTCTGCAGAAGCGTACATTTCTGTTTGAACATCCGCCTGTCCGCTTTCACACGGTAACTTTAAACTCCTTTTTCTAGTTCCGTATTTACTGCACATGCCACCTCCGACAGGTGCTGAAGCATGGAGCAAAGGAGCGAGCGGAGCTGGTGCCTCCTCTGGGGAACACCCCGGGGAAGGCAGACTGCACCTCCACCTCCAGGCAGAGCTCCTGGAGCGCGGCCGCCCGCCCGCAGCTCCGCCAACCTCAGGCCATTTCGCTTCAGCTTAAAGCTCTATTGCACTCCCTGTGGCTGTCAGAGCAGTGGAAGGCTCTACAGAAAAACTAAATTTTACTTTATCAGATTCACGTGAGTGCCACATGTGAAAACAGAAGGAAGTGCATCTAAAGCACGATAAGCCGATGCACCAGGTCCCCTCTTCGCCTGCAGAACACAGGCTAACTCGTTTATAAAGAGACCTAAAAAAAAGGTGTGTATAAAAAGCAGGTTTATATGTATTTTCAGGAAAAAAAACAAAACCCCGAAACAAACAAAACTGGATTTGATCAAAAGCTCATGAACACAAACGGAAAGATTCGAATGGCTTTGGAGAGAACCTCACAGCAAACCCGAGCTTTAAATAAAACTACTTAAAATACAATTTAATTTCAAAGCAAGAAACGATTAAAGGCAAGAACTCCTGCCTCCTCCCTTCTCAGGAACGAAGTGTCACAACTGCGTTTCAAAGACTCCGAGAGAAAGTCCATCAAGCGCACGCAGGTTCTCACACGATACGATTTGAACACTCACCCGCTTGTAAACCATTCTGCAAAGCAATTATTTTCTGCTGCTGCTGCTCGATGAGATTGGTTAGTGCTTTCACATGCTTCAAGGTGAGCTCGAGAACCACAGCCTTCTCCAAGTGACCCAGAGTCTGAAAGCAAAGGGACAGGTTGGCGTCTGCCGCGGGGTCGGCCACCCTCGCAGGAGCCCCACGGGGCTGCCGGCGTTTTCCCAATAACAGAGCAAGGACCGACGCGGTTTGGAGAGAAGGCGTAAAAGCAGAGCCTTGATCCTGAACGGTACAGGACTACAAACGACAGTGGTGCAGGGCAATAAGTTACAGAGCTGGCTGCGGAGAAGGCTCTCACGGAATCTCGGGGGTATTTTCAGACCAGCCGCCTTGCTCAGAGACGTGTTTTATGTGTCGGTTCTGCTGCCACCGTGACCTTCGCACAGGGGAACCGGC